GGGGAAAAAACAAACAAACAAACAATGGATAACAATAAAGTGAATAATACTCTCAGCATATTAAGGAAGAATGAAGGAACAGAGATTGTAATAATTCTCAGATACAGGGGAAAAAAAACAAAAAAACAAACAATGGATAACAATAAAGTGAGTAATACTCTCAGCATATTAAGGAAGCATGAAGGAACAGAGAATGGAATAAATATAGATTCTTCTAAGGGTAATGAGAAACCCAACTTAYTACACTAGTTTTCAATTCTGGCTGCATATTAAAATCAAATTGAAGGTTTATAAAACTAACTTTGTCAAGGTCCTAACCTAGAGCAATATTAAACCACTGAGCATCTCTGGGGATGAGCTTGAGCTTATTCTTTTTAAGCTTCTCAGATGACTCTAATGTGTAGTAAAAGATAATTTTAACAAAATTCTAAAAGCCAAGCCAAGAAAATTATTTACTATGAAAATATTTCTCAATCAAGAAAACGATACAAATTTTCTGACTTTTTCATTAAAAGTTCCAATGAATTCTAAAAATTAAGAGAGAGAAAAAGAAAAAAAGAGAGAGAGAAATATTAAGAGTATATACCTGTAAATGGATCAACTCCAGTCATGTTAGTAGTGCCCATACTTGCAGAACCTGGCACATAACGACCAGCACCTGCAATGTAATAATACTTCTGGTAAGCAAAAGTAACTACAAATTATAAAGTCCATACTATTCCTTCTTTACATAACTTATTTTTAGTATTAGACATACTTCCAGAATAGCACCTTTATATACATAATAAATGTGCTATAAAATTTAATACAGAAAATAGAGTGGTGCTGTGCATATAATAAGTGCCCAATAAATGTTAGGTAAAAAAGTAATTTTCAAGTGACAAAATAAACATTGGATGCCTTATACATTATAATTATAGAAATTCAGGAAGTTATAAAAACAAGTGGATTAAAGAGAAAGCTTTCCAAAATGAAATGTGAACCCTATACTAAAAAAGAAAAGAATAAGGCTACCTGTGAGCACATAAGACAATTGGAAGAGACTTATATAATAGTTAGGGGTGCTATGACAACAGCCCAGTTACATTTGAGACCATACTTGTGGCTGTCTTATTGAAGGAAGAAAGGAAGGTAGGGAGGAAGGAGAGAGGGAGAGAGGGTAAGAGCAGAATTAGCAAGAGTTGGAGATGTTCAGAGGACTGGATTAGCCTTTGAGTGAAGGAGGAAGATGAGCTCATGTTCCGGCCTGAGTTTGTATATAATGTAGGAGTTGCTATAATCAGTGTGACACACAGAAAACATAAAAAAACTATAACAAAAAATAAAATCAAAAAAACGATAAACAAAAGCCAAGTGTGGAGGCACATGCGTGTATATCTGCAGGAGTATGAGGCAGGAGGATCACAAAATCAATGCCAGTCTCGGCAATTTTGTGAGCCACTGTCTTAAAATTAAAAAAAAAAAATTAAAATTAAAAAGGTTGGAGATATAGCTCAGTGGTAGARTGCTCAACTAGCACATGAGGCCCTGGGCTCATTCTCCATACTGCCAAAAATAATAACAACAATGAAACCACAGATAAGTAGATTTGTTGAGCATTAATTATGTCAGCCAGCATGGTAAGCATCTTATATGCACATTCATTCAAATATTAACTAAACACCATTATAATTCACAATATTTTAGGCTGAATAACTTGCCCAAGGCATTAAGCTATTAAAAGGCAGACTATAGTCCTACACTTTTCTAAATGTGTTTTCTGATCACCTGAATCCGTTACCTATTTAATAGGCAGATTCCCAGAGTCTACCCATAACATAGTACTCTAAATTGGTGCCCCTCTAGAAACAAATAGGGAACTTGTAGAGATACATTAGAGCAAATCAGAACTAAGACCATTTAATCAGAATCCTTGGATGAAGGATTAAAGTATAAGCATTTTTAATCTCCCCACTAATGGAAGGAATCAAAATCTCTGGGGGTACAACATTGGGATAATTAATTTAAGTTTCTTAGATCATTCTAATAGATATAAGAAATGTGAGTAGTGCATAAATTAATAAGAAAAGAAAAATGAATTAGGGTTGATTTAAGGTGTAAGCCAAATGGGGAAATCTGGGGCCTCAATGCTATTTGGTAAAGTTGAGGGTGCAACATCAACAATAAAAATATAGCTAATATATATTGATTCCTTATATGTATTTCAAGCATTTTGTTTAAAGAGAGAGAAATTTTAATTCTTTTTTTTTTTTTTTTTTTTTAGTTTTTAGTTTTTGGCGGACACAACATCTTTGTTTGTATGTAGTGTTGAGGATCGAACCCAGGCCGCACGCATGCCAGGTGAGAGCGCTACGGCTTGAGCCACATCCCCAGCCCTGTATTTCAAGCATTTTGCTAAACACTTTATAAGTATTATGCCATTTAATTTTCATATCTCAATATGGTATGTGCTGTTATCTATTTTTTTTATATAAGTGTAGTTCAGTGATCRTAAAAACAATTCTCTTAGACATTTAGTATGTTATCTGCATATCTATACAATTACTGCATTTTCTGTTACTGACACTGTGCAACAGTGAGACATGCTCTGATTATGATGAATGGTTCCAGGAGTTCTTTTGATATTGTTGGTAACAGAAAAAAGCCACCAGTGACATTTTTGGAACTCTGTTGGAATAATTTTCAAGGCATCACTGTTCCAGAACTGCTGATAAAGTCATCAATTATCCACTCTTCAGGTCTTTTGAAATTACATTATGTCATCAAAGACTTCCTTAATAGTCAAGGTACTGCCACATCATTTGGCATTATAGTTGGTTATTTTAGTACACTGGCTATCAATGCATAGGGTATAAGTACTTTTGTCTGGGCCACCAGTTCATTCACAAGAAAAAGGAAGCTCATTGAGAGCAATTCATAATTTCACGACACTGACCTAAGGTTGTGTGTTGGCCCAATCTATGGCTGAGCAGATCATAGGGTGGTCATTTTTATAGCCCACAGTACTAAGACTGTAAGGCCAGTGGATTCCATAAAGGCTATGAATCTCTTCTCAAATTTGGTACTTTGTCCAAGAACTCTGCCTGAAGATCCAACAACAGCATCACAAAAGATATCAAGAGCCATTCTGAAATACAGACTTCTTCAGCTGCATTAAAGTCCAACTCTGGTGATTTTTTTCCAGTAGTATTGACACTGAATTACCTCAGTAATTCACTCTCATGAGATACAAAGACACTTCAAGGGCTTCAGGAAGGCCATTAATAATTTAGATTAGGAAGACTAATCCTGGGCAGTCAGGTGAAATGTCTCCTCCCACGCTAAGTCAAAATATGCCTGGGCTGACTTCTTGATTGCATGGCTCCATCCAATATCAGGACTCACACAGCTCCTTCTCTGCTTGTAACTGGTAGCATCTCACCAATGATGGCGCTCATGCTGTGTCTTGGTTGATGGGCTCCCCTATTATCTAATTTCACAGATAAAAAAAATAGGCTGAGATAGGTTAGGTAACTTGCCAACTCCTCATAGCAAGTAAGTGGTAGAGCCAGATTTTCAACCAAGGTCTGTCTGTCTCTAAAACCTATATTCTTGTACTATTCTACTCTCCTGGCAGGAAGAACCWTGGGAGAAAATGATGGGTTCTAAAAATAGGTTATTCAAGAATCATAAGGAGATCTACAAAATTATTCCAGGAAAAAGCAAAAATTAGAAGTTAAAGAAAAGGAGACCAATCAAAATTGAAAATATAGTTAAGGGAAATTATCAGTTACTAGATAATACTTCTAAAATGTAAAACCACATAACACAAAATGCTTTATCTATGTGGTAAAGAAGAATAAGTTAAAACTACATCCCACCTGTAAAAGGATCTGCTGTTGGCATAGTGTTGGATGATCCTGAAGAGCCTGGAACATACCGACCACCACCTGTGTGTACAAAATAAAGGAAAAGCTGACGTATACCAAAATTCTGAATTTCATAAACAGTATAATACTTACATTAGAAAAACCCAAACTTGTAGAAAAGCTGAAGAGCAAAGCTGTCACATGAATACAATAGAGCATTATGACTGGGGAGAAATTAAGATTTTAGCGATTCTCTTAAGTTTTGTTTTCTTAAACTTTAATGCGTTTTTTTTTTTTTTTTTCTTAGCGATTCTCTTAAGTTTTGTTTTCTTAAACTTTAATGCGTTTTTTTTTTTTTTTTAGTCTTGGCCCCAGCATGTAAATATTAAAATAACTGGTATTCTAAAATAAAAAGAATTGCAGGTGATCTCTGACCTAAATAATATACACATATAGTAAATTCCTGTTCCTATACAAATTCACTAGAATTCCTGCTGTTGCTGTTGCTATCAAAACCACAGGCATTGAATGTTAATCTTTTAGAGAAGCTCTGGTTCATTAATTCAGGTGTCAAACAGTAGATTCAGTTCCAGGGATCCAGCAGGGAACAAAAATTGCTTGTATCCATTGAAGCTTATAACTAACTAGTGGTGGAAAGAATTACAAAGGGTAAGAATGCTACCAAAAAAATATTTCCATTTATACATTTACAAGCATACAATATATGAGAATACATGTCGTGTTAGTAGCTCTAGGGAAATAATCAGGTTGTCCACAAAAAGATATGTAAGAATGTTTATAACATCTGGGAAGAGCAAAATAAGCCAAAGAGTTGCTAGGTTTCCAGGCTCAACCAACTGCCTTGATACCTGCCCTCATCCCACAAGATGGCTTAACCAGCATTGCAGGGAGAATTTATTATTTTGAGAGTTCATTCTTTTGACCTGAGGCTGAACTTTCAACAAGAGAAATATCCAGGCACTAAGCATCTAATTTTTTTTTTCTTTTTGTGTTAACTTCATATATTTGGAGGGCTAAATCATTTTTAGTTCAGTAGTAAATTACTTTGGGCGATCTACTTTGGGTTCGGAGAAGAGAGAAAATTTGGAAACATGGAGTACCCAAAAGAGAAGAACTATGTAAGAAATTGAGACAGGAAGAGGCTATGGGTTTTTGTAGATCAAGGGAATCACTACCATGTGAAAAATTAGGTCGGTAAGACAATGGGGAGCTAGGGACATAGCTTAATAGCAGAGTACCTGCCTAGCATATTGAAGGCCTTGGTTTTAATCCCCAGCATCTCAGTATCTCCCCTTCTCTCTCACACACACAWGAAGAAACGACAACAAAAAAAAATTAACAATAAACTACCTATTTCAAATTTTTATTTAGAGTAGGCCTTAAACAAAAATGTGGCATTCTGTTTCCTCAGATTCCTGGATCTAGAACTCAGGGTAATACTACTAGGATCATAATCTACTTTCTGGGAGCCAAAATTCAGACTAATACTAGTTTTATTAATTATTAGTATTTACTAATTATCAGTAGTAATTACTAGTATTAGTAAGCTAATTCTAATTAACTTAATTAGTATTACTAGTAATCTTTTAAAAATCAAAAAGATTAGCATTTAATGCCCATCGTCCTGATAGCAACAGTAAAAGCAGGAATTTTAGTGAATTTATATAGGAATGGRATAGGAATTGATTGTACGTATATATTATTTAGGTCAGAGATCACCTGCAATTCTTTTTATATTAGATTAAAGTGATTTTAATATTTATGTGCTGGGACCAAGACAGAAAACCATTAAAGTTAAGAAAATAGAACTTAGAAAAAAAAATTACTGGAATTTTAGTTTCAGGCTAATACTACTTTACAGATTGGCATGCTCTCCTAACCCCATTTATAACATTTCAGATACTACATAAAATGTTAAAAACTAACTTGAAATAAGCATGTGGAATGCAAATCACAATTCAGCCCTAGAGTTGATGTACAATTAACTAATTTACCTTCATGTGAAAATAATTTCTTTTGTGTGTTGTACTGGGGATTGAACCCAGTGAAAGGGGTGTTTTACCACCAAGCAACATCTCTAGACCTTTTTATTTTTTTTTTTAAATTTTTTTAGTTACAGATAGAGACAATACATTTATTTTATTTATTCATTTTATGTGGTGCTGAGGATMAAACCCCATGCCTCACAAAGGAGAGGCAAGCGCTCTACCACTGAGCAATAACCCCAGCCCTAGACCTTTTTATTTATTTTGAGATGGGGTCTCACTAAGTTCTCAAGGTTGGCCTTGAACTTGGGATCCTCTTGCATCAGCCTCCTCAGCTGCTGCCACTATACCCCAGTGAAAACAATTTCATTTTACTAAATATTACTATAAAATGGAAACTAAGGTGCATGCCTGGAATCAGGCAGCGACTAAAAAGGCTTAAGCAGATGGATCACAAATTCCAGACCAGTCTTTGCAACTTAGCAAGGTCTCAAGCAACTTAGCAAGACCCTGTCTCAAAATAGAAAATATAAAGGGCTGGGTATGTGGCTCCGTGGTTAAGTATCCCTGGGTTCAATCTCTGGTAACAACAACAACAAAAAGAAAACTAGGGTCTAGGTGCATTGTTTAGCAATAGAGTACTTGCCTAGCATGTGGGAGTCTCTAAATGTACCCCAGCACAACGGGGGAACTATATAAAGGAACTTAGAAGTTTATTTTTATTTCAAATGACTGAATCAAATTTTCTTAATTTATTTAGTTTACAGTGAGGCTATATTTTTGAAAGACAATAATTATTTCTAAACACAGAATTGTATAATTCAAGGGTTAAAAATATATCAATCATAGATGTGAGGTAAAAATCCCTTGTAGATTTTTAAAAAGAATTTAAACAGCTAATCATAGTTTTAAACACATCAGAAAAAGTCAACCAAGCTCAGTGGTATAGCATGTGCTTAGAAAATGCCCAAGGCATTTGGTTTAATCACCAATAACCCCGCACCCCTCAAAAAGGCCAAAGTCAAAAACTAACTCTGATTGTGATAGTTTGGATCTAGAATATCCTCCAAAGGTTCATGTTTAAAGCTTAGTCCCATAAAATCAGAGGGGGCTTTTGAGAAGTGATTAGATCTCAAAGACTCTAACCTCATCAATGGATTGACATAGTTCAACAGACTACTGGGGAGGTGGTGGAAATTGTAAGAGGTGGTACCAAGGGACTTTGTCTTTGAGGCATGCCCTTGGGGACTATTTCTGGTCCCTGACCCCTTTCTCTTGCTTTTTCTCTGCTTCCTGTCTGCCATGGGGTAACAGCTTTGCTGTATCACACCTTCCCCACATCATGATGTCCTGTCTCACCACAGGACCTGAATCAATACAGCCAATGACCATGGACTGAAATCTCTGAAACCCTGATCCTAAAAACAATCTTTCCTCCTCTAAGTTAAAATTTTAGGTATTTAATCACAGCAACAGAAAGCTAACACAGATGGATATGAGTTAATACAAACCCTAACTTACCTGTAAATGGATCTGAAAAACTGGTATTCCCAAGTCCCAATGTTTGTCCTTTTGTGTTATCAATAATAAATTTAGCCACTTGATCTAAAAACATGGGATTCAAATCATTCTTCTGTAAGAAATTATATGCGGTTAGCCAGGGATCATCACTGGTATTGTATGGCAATTTATATGATGGTCCACCTTCATTGACATCAATTGAGAAAACATAATCAAATTCCTATAATGGGAACATTAAAAAAAATTTTCATATGTTAGTGATATATATATATATAACACAGAGGTCAATGTGTTCTTTATTTTAATAATTGCAATGCCTAAACTTTCTCCAAAGCGCAATGCTAAAAGCTTCCTCTTTGGCAGATAAAGATTAACTGTAATTTTATGTGCTGTAAGATTAGTATTTCACAGGGGKTGGGGAGAAAGGCGATGGGAAATGGATTATAACATTAATTCTATTAGACAAAGGAAGAACCAAAGGAAGATTTCCAACTGGTTTATCTCAAGAGAAAAGTTATCAGCTGTTTGGTACCCTACTTACCAAAACCTGCTGGCAAAATAAGCACTGCCCTGCAGGATCCCTCAAGTCTTGTCAAGTTAAATACAGCCAGGCATTAAGCAATAGATGTAGCACTAGATGAGAGGTGGAACAGAAGTCCCCAATCCAAAATTAGTGGGAAAAGTTATGTATGGGAATTCTAAAAGACAGATTATGGCTAACTTGCCTATCAAGTGCAGCTTCTTCTACATGGACGACATATTTTAAAAATCTATTTCAAAACAGGTAAAAAGATAATTTCCCCACAGTAATATAGTTTTCAATGTCAAAGCACCAAAGAAAAATTTATCAGCACAGGGAAAAAAATACCTATAATTTGTCTAATAGTCTAAGATAATGATATTTAGAAAGTACTTTAATTTAACATACTTTCCCTTCATATAAAACTTTTCCAGATGTTTGCTGAGTAGCACCAGAAGAGCCAACAACATCACCAATTTTTATCCACCTTCCTTCACTAACACTCCACTGATAGGCTTCGACTCTGTCCCCATCTCTGATTAGACGAGTTTGTCCTTCTCTAGTACCTTAAAACAAAAATTGTAAGAATCAAAAGTAGAATGGCAGAGTAAAATTTGAAAACATTTAGAAAGAAAAATTTTAATACTAAAATRTATACATGAAATTTAAAAGAGAATTTTATTTTAGTAGAAATTTTATTTTAGTAATAATTCTAGTAGAAAGTGACCAAAGGAAAATAAAGGTTGTAAAGAAATTTTACGAAATAATATAAGGCTTAAAAAATGTGATTCTAAGCTGGGCATGGTGACACACGTCTATAATCCCTCTCAGCTACTGAGAAAGTCGAAGTAGGAAGATCATAAGTTTAATGCCAGCTTGGGCAACTTAGCAAGACACTGTCTCAAAATAAATAAAATATAAAAGGCTGAGAACATAGTTCATTGGTGTGTACTACTAGGATGTGGGAGACGTCTAGGCTTAAATCCCAATACCTATCACCAAAAGAAAAAAAAAAGATTCTGCTAGAGAGCTAGCAATTTTACCCACTATTGCCTTTGCATCCTAAATGCAAACCTTTACAAAATATAAAAAGGCAAATAACATCTACTATCATAAAAGTAGTTTTGACCTCATGAGCATCCTAACAAATTTCAGATCCCCAGGGTTCTATGAATCTAGTTTTGAGAAGTGATGATGTAATGGGTCAGGGATATATCCATAAGGTTTTACTTGAGATGACTTTTGTTCTTGGATTTCAAACTCAAATGATCCCTAACTTGTARACATTGCTATATTTGAATTCACTTTTGTGTTTAGTCTTTATAACTCTTTCAGGGAATTCGATTAGCCAAAAAATATTACCTATGTATTTTTCAAGTTTCTACTATTTTTGAGCTAAGTGTTGAGATTCTTATTAAAAGGAAAAAATCCTGTTCATGGGAAGCATCACTCAAAGTCTACACTGTGAGATAGGTGCAAGAGCAACATAGTTTCTCATAGCAGTTACCTGTGGTAATAAAAATTCACAAAAAAACAGAATCTGGCAATGAGAATAACAATGAAACACTAGCAAAACAACATTTTCTCCCTTCTTATCGTTCTTAGTATTCCCAAAGGCAAATGTGGTGACATTTTAAACTGCTATTAGAAACACTGCAATATTTACCAGGTTCATTCAGATGTTCCCTCCCAGGAAGCTGTTCAGCATTAATGTCCCCTAAATCACCAGTTTTGGAATCAATGGTTGCCTGAGAAAGCTCTTTTTCAAAAGCCTTGATTTCCTCAGCACTTGCTATCCGATCCTCTGATTCTGTAAACACTCTAATAATACCATCACTATAAAAAAAAMCAAACACAATGATTTTAAAAATCATTGCCATAGTATATCAACATTCCACACCTGAATGATCCAAAGCAAAAATTCATTTGTGAATATAAGAAATGTTACTATGTATTTATTTATAGCACTATACTGACCCCAGAACATTACTCCATATTATAAATTACTGAAAATGGACACAGAAATACATATTTAATATAACTTTTAAATATTTACTTACCATCATAACAATCTAGAATTATGCAATTTACTTTTAAAGTCAATATTACATAGGTTTTTTTACTATAAAGAAGGATAGTGCACTGGTTTACTTTATACAAGGCTCAAAGACCCACCCTAATACTTATAAAATAAAAGATGTTCAATAGGGAAGCACGGGCTTTATTCACCTTACTAGTACCGAGCAGTAACCTCAATCAAAGAAAAACAATGGCCTTAAGTTTAGACTGCAAAGCAGCCCTCAAACTTTATTCCCGAAAAAAATCACTCCATTTCTATGGTTCCTCAATTCTAAATTTTGAAATAGGAGAGCCAAGTTAGCTACTTTCAATTGTATTCATCCCACTCAATTCCACAGAATCTTCTATGTAAATCAATTTCCCTCTTTCAATTGTTTTTTCTTCAACTTCTAATATGCTTAGTGGAAAATAAAGCTAAGCCAACAAACCAACCTTTGACTTGGCAAAAAATAAATAAAAGAGTTCTATTTCATTAAACCTCTATCTCTTACAGCTATCACATTTTTCCCATTACCTTCAATGCCAGATTAATCTGTAATCCTTTCTTTCAACCATCTCTCAACTCTTTAATTCCTCTTGCCATTTTTTCTATCATTTTCTACCAAAGTAGGACATCAAAAGAGTTACTAATAACAATTTTTAAACTAAATCCTAATGCTTTTCTAATTTTCAATTCCCTCACACCTCTTGCATTTTCTTTTTTCCACACTGATGATAATCTCCCTCCAAAATCTCTCCTTTGTCATCTCCCTCCACTTCATCATCTGGATTCTTTTGTACTATTTAACATACTGGCCCCTTCTATCCATAGTGTATTGCAAGATTCGGTTCCTAGTCTTCTCTTCTTCCTCTGTACATCTTCCCTCAGAAAAAGGTGATCAATAGTTTGTTTATGGCAGTTTTAGATAAATCTTTACCTTAGTTTCAGTTCTTATACTAGGCTCCAACTGTCCATGATCTACTGGCATGGGTGTAGCTGACCAACACTTAGAGGAAGTCTAAAGCCAAAGTTATAACTTTTGCACCAAATTAATTGTCCCACTTTTCCATTTTTATTGATGGGAATTGCCAACCACCAAAAGTTTAAAGTATTATCTTTTCCTTTCACTCTTATTCTCATAATTTTTGTCTGAATTATCTTATTTATTTCTTATCCAGTGCCATTGTGGGATCACTGATTTTTAACTTCATATCTTACTGCTGCAGTTAATTTCTAGTTTGCTTTCCTGTCACGTCACATCTAGTTAAATTTAAGATATATATTTAATGACACACAAGGTTCACTTTAATAATATCATTTCTTGCTTGAGCATTATAACACCTTAACCCTAAACTACCAATAGTTAAGCCCCATCATATCTACTATTTAATGTTCCCGCCTTAATTTTTCATCCTTTTCCCTCATCTCCTCTGAATATCACATTCATTCCATAGAAGCTTATATCTTTTGTTGGAAATTCTAATTTCCTTTCCTACTCATTATCCTTCAAAATTCAATTTGAATTTCTTCTTCTTCAGAAAATTTTCCCACAAATTTTTACATCCTCTAACTTCTTTTACATTCAATGTATGGACRGTACAACTTTTAGTACAATACTTGTATATCATGTATCATTAGTGTAATATCATGTGTCATTTGTGTAATAGTTGTTATACCTACTTTGCTCAATTAATGGAAATGTGCAGTCTTCTCATTTCACCTGCTATTCCTATGGCTTACCTCTGTACACTCTAGTGCCTATCATAGGCCTAGATACATAAAATTTATTGACTGACTAGAATATAAATACCTCGCACCAACCACAATGTCACCATTGTCCAGCACACAGCAGCACCATATAGACTGAGCTGGAAGTCGGATTGTTTGAGCACATTCTCCTTGTTTCCAGATTCTCAGAGATCTGTCTTCTGCTGTTGTCACAAAATCTAAAATTAATGAAAATGGGGAAAAAAACTTGTTTAGACATAAATAATAACCTTTATAAACAACATCTTTCTATATGTACAGATCTTTTAAATCTCAATGTGTTTTAAAATTAGTTTTAAATTTTATATTAGTCAATTATATACAACTTCAAAAATCACGTTTTAATTCCTTCACATCTTATAACCTATACCATGTACCAATGAATAACAGAAAGTCATTCCTCAGATACTTGTGAACATTTTATAATACAACCACTAATCTGAATTAATATAAAGATGGCAATATAATTTTCTCCACTTGGGAAAACAGATACTTAGGAAATATTTAGTTAACAATAAGCTGATTTAAGTAAGCAGCCCTCCTGTCCTCAGCTCAAGAGTAGAATGAAATAACGCACAAAACAAAATTTTAATACAGAGAATACACTACTCTTACCTTTACAATTAGGAAAGACAGATATGCTATAAATATAATTTGTATGTCCATAATATACTTCAAGACACTCGCCAGTGATTTGCCATCTTCTAATACTAGCATCATTTGCACAGGAAAGAAATTCTGTTTCACTCAAAATTGCCAAACCTCTTACACAGTCTTCATGCCCTGCATTTAAAAAAAAAAAAAAAAGTATCCTTTGCTCAATGGCTCCATAGAGTTTACAAAAATTATAAAACGTATTAGTTACTAATGTGATTTTTCAAGTTACAAAATTTTCCTTTTTTCTATAGAAAAGCCTGGTAATCAAAATTGTATTTCAGTTATGGCAATATTTTCTATTCTTCAGAAGTTATTTTGCTTTAATCACATTGTTTTCTAAATTATTTCCTAAACCTTTCAGAGACAGTATTTTGACTCCAAAAATTCTTCATGTTCACCTGACAATTCCTTTTTAATTTTTCTTTAACAAGAATAATTCATAAAAGTCACAATATTCAAATATATCAAAATATATATTACAAAGTAAGTGTCTCCTAAGTTTAAGGACAAAACATTTTCTGATGTTGTGACCTAATAAAGAAAATGAGAAAACAAAACTTTCATGTTCAGTATTTGTTGATTTAGATTTGTTATCCTAAATTAAAGACTTGATATATAAATTGTAAATACTGATGCAGAAAAGAGAGGGATACTTAATTATAACTTATTATTTTCCACCTATAGTTACTTTTATGTGTATGAAGGGACTTTTTACTTTTATTTTTTTCAAAGTATTATCCAGGGTGGTGATGATCAAAACTTACACCGMAATTAAATACCTCTCAAATAAATAAATCAATTATATTAATACTAGACAGCAGAGGGGCCAGGGCTCAATCCCCAGCACAAAAACAAACAAATTATTAAAAGTTAGACAGCAGATACCTCAGTGTAGTTGTATTCTATGGAAACCCACAAGATTAAAAAAAATCTAAACTTTATTATTATTAAACAATGTACTTCAACAAAAATAAAGGCAATAATGATGCTTTCAGTTAAAGATTATACTGCTGACCTACCATCAGTAAGGATGCTTCAATTTTCAGCCTGAACCTGTTAAAATGACAATAAAAAAAAACACAAAAAAAGCATACACATTTTATAGCATATCAGATAACTTTTTATTAGTCTACACCTGATTGTTTTATGAGAGTTCATTATAACATTAGAAAAGATACTAAACAGTAACTGTCAGAAAATTACATTTGTCCAAGTTAGCTGGCTCATAAATACTGATGTTTTTCAAATGTCATTTTTAAGCTTCTAATTTGTTGAGAAAAATATCATCTGAGCAACTAAGAAGTAATAATAATGGAACAATATAATAAATTTAATTATAATTAAATTGTCTACCCCATCTTACCTGAAAAAGTCCTCTCACACCTTCCAGCCTTCCACAGCTTAATAGTTTTATCTGCTGAACCAGTTAACATTAAGCCCTGTTCAGGTAAAATCTTTACTGCCCATACAGCAGCAGTATGACCCTGTGGGTAAAATGGGTATCAGTTTAAGTTGCATAGAATTATCATACTTGTTTATTATCTAGAATATTCACACAGACATACTGTACCTGTAAGGTCATCATGCATTTGTCATTCAGCCAGACTTTAGCAGTTGTGTCCCATGAGCCACTAAGTAATGTCCCAAATTTCCCAGATGATAAACTACAAACTAGGGGGGAAAAGTCATTAATTAATACACTTTCATAGAGAAAAAATGCTTAACCTTGCAAATTATTAAAGTATTGCAATTTAATTTTTTATTTTGTAGTTGTAGATGAACAGAATGCCTTTATTTTATTTATTTTATGTGGTGCTTACAATCGAATCCAGTGCCTCACACATGTTAGACAATTGCTCTGCCACTGAGCTATAGCCCCAGCCCAATTATTGCAATTTTAAAAACACTTTGTGAAGTGAATACCCAACTGAGGTTCAACTCAATAGAGATGAAGAATGCAGTGGTCAAGAGCACAGGCTCTGGTAGAAGAATGCTTGGATATAAACAAACTGTGTGACCACTGGGATAATGAATGCTTAACCTTAGATTCCTAGTCTGTAAAATGAGGGAACAGGACTAACTGGGCTGCATAATTCCTTCTGGCKCTAAGAAACAACCATAGGAAAATAATGCAGGTGATTTTTGAAACCCTGTTTATGTAAATATTTAGGGTCACTTTCAAGAAAATGACAAAAACGAAAACAAAACAAAAACCTGCAGCCAAGATCAAAGTTCAACAGTATTAGAATCGTTAATTAAATGCTTTACTATCTCAATGTAAAATTATGCAGGCTCAAAATCATAAATATTAAAAATTATCTTAGAGGGCTAGGGTTGTGGCTTAATGGTAGAGCGCTTGCCTACCAAGTGTGAGGCACTGGGTTCAATCCTCAGCAGCACATAAAAATAAGTTATTATGTCCATCAAAAGCTAAAAATACATTTTTTATTTATCTTAGAAAAGGACAAGTATTCCAGAGAATCAAAGCAAAGCCACAAAGAATAAGGGTTGTAACCTCTCTTGTAGGATCAGGAGGAACTGATCAAAAAAATCTCAGAGTAGGAGGTTCTTGAAATAATCATTTCTTTGAATTTCAGAATGGCAATAGACAAGAAACTGCTATTTTGCACTGTTTCTTTTTCTTAATGGGAATGTTTGCTCTTCCCCATTCCACAATAGTATACAAGTATGGGTGATATAGGTGCTTTTAGCTCACATACCTCTGAATTAAAGAGGAACTACATATAGACCTGATGCAGAAACACCTAAACAACATTTCCCTGATTTTCAGAATACTATGCATCACTTCAAAGTACTTAACTTTGGGCTTTATGCTGTAACTGAGTGGGAATTTGGACTGTTTGGGAGGTGGGTGTATTTTGCCTGCAGAAGGGAAAACAATCTAAGTAGCTAGTGACCAGAAGGCACACTGTGGTAGTTCTCCCTTTTCAAGCACATAAGAGGATGGTATTTTCCTCCTGTATATGAAGTTGTCCTTTCATTGATGCAATAACTGCTGAAGCACAAGTAAAGATAAAGCGACTCTGAGAAAATCTGGCATAATCCCTTTACTGATTCATGTTGAACATGTAAGGTGAATGAGATATATTCTGTATTATGTCACATCTGGGAATTATTTGTTACTATATTGTATAAGAACCTCGCCTACCCTGATTTATATGTTAAAACATTTGAAAAAGTAAGTGCTTCCCAGACCTCCTGCAACATATAAAAAAGGGTCCTTAACCTTAGAGTAAATACTTTTTCTTTGACAAAAATAAAATTTAAAAACCAAGTTGATTAAAATTCCAGTTAAATTAATATTCTCCTTATTTTCTACTTTGTTTTAGAAAAATTTAATACGTGATTTTGAAAATAAATACAATATACTAAGGTAAAAATTAGGTGGAAAAGGAAAGCAGGACAAAGAGTAGTAGGTAAAATCTGTAACATGAGGTCTTGAAAGTGGGTTAGTGTTGAGCCTCTCTCTATACAGCAGAAGACAGAAACCTTGACTGAGTWTCATCAGCTAAGTTACTGAGTGCTTACCATGTGTCCAACACTATAAAAAGTGTATTCCTGTTTGCAACAACTTCAGGAACCAGATATTGCTCCATTTAACAGATTAGGAGACTAAAATTCAGAGAGATTAAATTATTTTAATTTGGGGATGAAAAGAGGAGTGGGAAATGAGGTCTTGTTATAGTCCATAGGCTGACACCAAACTCCTATAGGCTCAAGCTACCGTCCTGCCTCAGCCTCCAAGTAGCTGRGACTACAAAGTACCCACCACCATGCCAATGAAACTAGATACTCAAGAATTACATAACTAGTCTTTGCAATGAGAACACAAAACATCCTTATGATGCATAATGTATCTACATACACTTGTTCTTAGGAACAAACACTGAAAGATATTACTGTACAAATAAATACACGAACTACTGTGTTTAGATGTTGAAATTAAAGTGAATTTTCCCATTTATATGAAAAGGTGCTTTTCAAATAGTTAMAATTCTTTTTTTAAAGACTGACTTAACACTTCTGTAATACTTCATTATTCTTTGTTTGTTTAAATTCAAGTGCCAAGAGGGCCAGTAAATTAAATCACTGGAATGTTCTATTATTACTGCACTTATGTACAGAGTACTTGAAGTGCATTGGAAATAGTTAACTTAAAAAAAATTCTTCTTTTGGATCACTTTTCTAAGGTAGAATAACTTACCTCTAAAACTTTTTAAAATGATGTGCACATTTATTTATTTATTCATTTATTTATTGTCTATGGCAGCTGTTGTACTATAGTGGCAGAACTGAGTAATGATAGCATTCATATGGCTTGAAAATTCTTAAGATATTTAGTATGTGATCCTTTACAAAAAAAGTTTGATTATCCCTGTTTTAAAGTTTACATTTTGCTATATTTGTAAATAAAATAGTATATCAAGAATTTCTTTTAAAATAACAGTGATAGAGGGTAAGATTTAAAAAAAAGGTCACTTGTTGATAATCTTTTAAAGCTATATAAATACATAGATGGAAGGGATTATTATATTTTTCTCTCGTATATATGATTATGTGATAACTCATTATAGAATACCAAATTTTGGGCTGGGAGTGTGGCTCAGGGATGGAGCATTTGCCTATCATGGGTRAGACCCTGGGTTTAATCTCCATCATGCACACACACACAAAAACAAAACAAAACCCCTAGTATCTATTTTGTATACATTTACAGATTTCTATAAAAAAATTGTAAAAATCTGTTTCACTCTGTGTGAAATATTTTACACATACAAACATTTTACAAATTTTTCAAAGGAATTAAGTTTGAAATATTTATGGGTAATGTCCCAAATTATTCCAGCCATAAATATAAAAATAAGTCCGTGTAAATGGACTGATCAAGCTTGCCACTTCATAACAAAGAGCTGTTCTGCCATATATAAATCCAGAATCACCACAGAACCAGGAATATATACAAATTATGGGAAAATGGTATTTACAAGTTTAAAAATCTTCAATACTGATATTAGATTAGTAAATGCATTTCTTCCTGGTCTTCAATTTGSTGCAAAGAGATGACAGCCAAAAGATAAAGACATATTCTACATAACTTTACCACACAAAATAGTAGAAGATCTAATCCATGAAGTATATTAAAATTATACAGCCTCTTCCTTTTATAAATAAACACTTTATTTTTTATATATAGGCTGGGGTGTAGCTTAATGGTAGAGTGCTTGCCTAGCATGCATAAGGCTCTGGATTTGATCCCCACCATTGTAAAATAAAATAAAACAAAGCAAATCATATATATATATCAGCATATCAATCTTTAAATTCACAAGTACATTTGGAACAGAGATTTCACAGAACTAAAGTGACAGAAAAAGTTTTGCACTATCAAGCCATAGCTATAGATGAAAGAAAAAAAAACTTGGAAAAAATAAATATGTAAATATTACTTTCAAGGGGATAAAAACTTCAATTAGAAAAACACCAAAGTGTTATACTCACCAGTATTTTTGTGACCTTTCAAAATATAAAGAGGCACTGGACTGTCCAGTGAGAAAATGCAAATATTGTGGTCATTTCCTCCAGTGGCAATCAGTCCATGAGGGTACATGTCACTTGAGGGTATGATGCATACACAAGATACAAAATTAGAGTGGCCACTCATACAGTGCATTTCTGTAAAGCCCCTGTTAGGACTAGAAAAACAAGACAATTAATAGATAAATATTTGTCCTGTGCCCTACCCTAGAACATAACTGTCCAAGTATTCATTTTCATTTTGCATTCATGCTGAACTTTAGAGTATATACTACTTTACAAATCCATTGTTATATATTAAGTGAACTTGATAGGACAGTAGAAATGATCAAGTCTCAGTAAAAGAAGAAAGATGAAAGAAAAGTGAACAGAGCCTCTGCAACCTGTAGAAAACAATCAAGAGAACCATATACATAAAGAGGGAGAGAAGAGAGAATATTTAAAGAAATAATTGCTGAAAAAAATCCCAGGTATGAAAATACACATCCAGAGAAGCTCAACAAATTTCAAGACACAGACACCCACACTGAGACACATTTCAAAGGGAGAATCTTGAAAGCACTAAGAAAGAAATAACTCATATAAAGATCCTCTCAAGATAATGGATCTCATCAAAGCCTTTTGAGAGGAAGGTCTAGGGTACATAGCTCAGAAGTAGAGCAGGTGCTTAGCATGTGCAAAGCCCTGGATTCAATTCCCAATGCATGCACTGGCACACGCGTGTGTGCACACACATACACAACTTTGGAGGCCAGAAGGAAATGTATCAATATATTAAAAGTAGTAAAATAAAATTTAAAAAACCCTTCACCCAAGAATCCTATGCCCTGCAAAACTGTTCTTCAAAAGGGAAGGAGGAATTAAAACTTTCCCAGATAACAAAAGCAAGGGAGTTTGTTACCAGGAGACTTTCCCCACAAGAAATGCTTAAAGAAGTCTTGCGGAGTAAAATGAAAGAAAATCAGACAGTAACCCAAAGGCATATGAAGAAATAAAGATCTCAACAATGATAAATACATCTAGTAATACAGAAGTGGTTTGCAACTCTATATTTTGCTTTTTACAACTTAAGAGACTAATACATTTAAAATAATTATTAATGTTTTGGAGTGCATAATGTACAGATGAAGTTTTTTGACACCCACAACCAAAAGGAGGAAAAACAGAGTTGTGAAGGAGCAGAATTTGTATGTTATTGAATTTAACTTGTATAAACTCAAATTAGAGTTAAAAGTTTGGCATGTTCAATGCAATTCTTATGGTAACTACAAAGAGAATAGCTAAGAATCTACACAAAAGGAAATGAGAAAGGAATTTAAATTTTTATTACAAAATATCAACTGAACACAAAAGACAGTGATGCAGGAAATGAKGATGAAAAAGCTATAAGGTATACAGAAAATAAATAGTAAAATGCTATCAGTAATGACTATAAATGTGAATGGATTAAACTCTCCAATCAAAAGACAGATGGGCAGAATGGTTTAAGAAATATGATCCAATTATATGCTGTCTATAAGAGACTCATTTTTGATCTAAAAACAAATACAATGGAAAATTCCATGAAAACAGTAACCAAGAGAGAACAGGGTTAGCTATACTAATATAAGACCAAATAGACTTTAGTTTTTAAAAAGTGAGACATACATTATTATATATTAATAAAAATGCAATATGCAAGAATACAAAACAATCATAGACACTTATACACCAGATAACAGGCCATCAAAATACACAAAGCAAAAAGTGACAGAATTGAAGGATAAATAGTTCTACAATAATTGGAGAAGACCTCAATACCCCATTTTCAATAATGAATAAAACAACTAGACAGAAAATAGGTACAGAAATTAAAGGCTTAACACAATAAACCAACTAAAACTAACAGAACACTTCACCCTGGGCTGGGGATGTGGCTCAAGCGGTAGCGCGCTTGCCTGGCATGCGTGCGGCCCGGGTTGGATCCTCAGCACCACATACCAACAAAGATGTTGTGTCCGCCGAGAACTAAAAAATAAATATTAAAAATTCTCTCTCTCTCTCTCTCTCCTTTCTCACTCTCTCTTTAAAAAAAAAAAAAAAAAAAAAAAGAACACTTCACCCAAGAACAAGACTCTTCTTGTGGAAAAGAGCACGATGATTTTTCTAATCAAAAAACTAAAACAGCCAGGGATGGTAGCTCATGCCTGTAATTCCAGGGAYTTGCAAAGCTATTACAGGAGGATTGTGAATTCATAGCCAGCCTCAGCAACTTAGTGAGGCCTTAAGCAACTCAGCAAGACCATGTCTCTAAACAAAACATGAAAAAGAGCTGGGGTGTCGTTCAGTGGTTAATGCCACTGGATTCAATTCCCCATATTAAAAAAAAAAAAAAACATGATTCAGTTATCCCATTTCTGAGTATATTTCTAATGGAATGAAACCAGAGTCTTAAAGAGATATTTAGACAACCATGTTCAGCATCATTATTTACAATAGCTAAAATGTGGAAGCAACCCAAGAGTCTATCAATCAATGAGTGGATAAACAAATGTGGTCAACACAAACAACAGAATTTTACTTAACTTCAAAAAGGAAAGAAATTCTGACAGGTTCTAAAATATGAATGAACTTTTGAGGATAAACTAAATGAAAAAAGCCAGTTACATAATGATGGTTACCATGAGCTAAGGAAAGGAAGCATGGGAATTTATTATTTTAATGAGTATAAWTTTTATAAGATGAAATTATGAAGCTGGATGGTGGTAATAGTTGCATACCTCATAAACATACTTAATACTACTGAACTTTATACATAAAAATGGTTACAAAACTAAATTTTGTTAGATAGCTATATATTTTATATTTTTTTTAGTTGTAGATGGACATAATACCTTTATTTTGTGTATTTATTTTTACGTGATGCTAAGGATCAAATCCAGTGCAGAATGCATGTGAGGCAAGTGCTCTACTGCTGAGCCACAACTCCAGMMCCCTAGGTGTATTTTACCAAAATAAAAATAAATGGAGGGGGGGTTATGAGCACTATAAATCTACAGAAATGGGGAAAAAGCACAGAACAAGAATAAGCATAACCAATAGAAAATCTTCATAATCAGTTGAATCATATGAAAAAAATCTTCAAAGGAAGATAATTGGTAGTAGCCAATTTTTGTTCACTTCATTTATGAGAGTTTTTAAAAATGTTATTTTGAAAACATTTATCAATAAGCCCAGAGAAAATTTTAAAATAATACATGTTGAAAAATCTATAGTATGGGTGGTGGGGTTGGTGCACATCTGTAATCCCAGCTATTTGGAAGTGGAAGAAGGAAGATCATAAGTTTGAGGCCAGCCTCAGCAACTTACCAAGATCCTGTCTCAAACAAAAAATAAGAGTTGGGGATGTAGCTCAGTGGTAGAGCACCACTAGGTTCAATCCCCAGTACTGGGGGGGGGGGGGAATAAAATCAATATTAGGTAAATTACTAAGTCTATGATGTGTGTCCTTTAGCACTTCTCAGCATAAATGTCTGTATGCATCATCCATAGTGGTCTATGAATTTTGTAATGGTGAAATCCAGATCTGATTTTTCTTTATATTTTCCCAAATTACTAACACAATGGTTTACATAGTAAGCATTAAGTAGTTTTTGAATGGATTAAARAATGCTTTTAAGTATTAAGAAAAAGAAAAGACTGCCAGCCACCCCAGCCTGGCAACTATACCCTTCTTGTACTCTGCATACATATGAAACTTTTACTTAGAAAAGGTTAGTCTGAATGGAGGGGGGGGGGCACCAGTCTTGGAACTGTGAGAAACATGTAATTTCATACTGAAGCCCAAGATTACCAAAAACAAAACACCTGAGGCTGGAGATCAGCCCAGGGAAATAGCCCCACCAATTAAGTTCAAAATCAACAAGTGCCAGCTAAGAGCAGAGAACTTCCCAAGAGCTTTTTATTTCCATCTTCAACAATAAGGACACAATACAGATTACCAAACATCTGAGGAAATGCCTCCAGCATAACATGAGTCCGCCCCCCCCCCCAAAAAAAACCCAACCAACCAACCAAACAAAAACAACCCATCAATTTGGAGGAAACAGACCACTCAGGAAAAAAAAATAAAATAAAATAGAAAAATAAAAATCATTAAGATCCTTGAAAATACTGCAACCATGAGACAAAGACAAAATTTCACAAATAAGTCAAGGTAATTCCATAAAAATTATAGCCAAAAAGAGAAAGAAGATATTGTTTTAAATGGGAGAAAAACAAAAAGAAATTTAGAAAATAAGTCCAATATTTGAATTTCTAAATTTTTAAAATCTTTTAAAATTAAATACTGCACAGAACACATCTTTATATAGAGAAATAGATGTAAAATGTAAGAATTAGGAGTTAGATAACTAATTTTTGCCTTTGAGAAAGAGAAATGTGGGGTGCAATATGAAGGGAGCAGGAATTGCTTTGGTTTCCTAACAAACCCCACAGATATACTGGATGAAGAACCCAAAGTACTGAGTTTACAAGAGGGAGAAGTCACTTTATCCTTAGCATGATCAGAGAATACTGAATGTATGAACTTCAACCTGCAGTTGTATCTTCCAATATGGATAGTTTTCAAAAGGCAAAGATGCTCAAGCCTTATCTCATCTCTCCCAACCCAGAAATGATGACAGACTTGGGAGATCCAATTTAGTACGAAGACAGCTTATGGAAATCTGAAGTAATATGAAATAGGAGCAGGTTGGCTGGCTCAATTTTATGTACTACTGAAAAATAGTGTCCAAAGGACCTTCAGAAGGTCCAGAGACTTTCTGAGTTTTCAATGGATTTCAGTTTAAGACTAGATATCTGATTTAGTCCATCCTAGAAGAGAACTCTGTGTCTCCCGAGAAGTAAATTCTATTCTAGTTCATCCCTATACTTACTACCTTGAGCCAGAACCATACTGACAATGTACTTGTGAATACATATTTCATTTACTACCTGACTCCAAGCATTGTACAGTCTTTCATTAATTTATTAATATCCCATGAAATAAAAACTGTCAGTATGCCAGCCTTGTGAACCCTTTTATAACACTAAAGGTGTAGTTTGAGACATTCTAGTTAGGAAGCATAAAATGTCAATCACCTAGTGAAGGAGATGTTCTAACCTGAGCGCTGGAAAGAGAAAAATAATCTTGTATCAGTAATACCCCAATATCTACCCCTGTGCCTGACAAAATGCAAGTTTTTMATATAAACACCTGAATGTATTTGGGGAAAAATAATGTGATTTAAATCAGTTCTCAAATAGAAGATTAGAATCAGTTCTCAAATACAAGATCATTTTAGACCAAAGTTCATCAAGTTCCTAGATTATGCAACTTTCCAGTGATTTAAACTTTTGTCAACGTGRCACAGTCCTACAAACATATAAAAGTTTAATGACAGGATTCCACTATTAAAATAGGCATCTTCCTACAATGTTTATATCCTTCTGAGCATGTTTTTACTGAACTTGATTCTATGCATTTACTTTTTGTTTTGTTTTGTTTTGGTGCCAAGGATTGAATTGTGTTTTCTTAGTATACATTATCACTGAGATATAAGCCAATCTTTAAAAAATGTATTTAATTAGTTATGTTTGGAGGACCGTTTTAAAGTCTCAAAATTAATCATTGTTCTCAAATACACAAACAGCTACCTAACATGTTATAAGTGGTTTGAAATACCACAGAACCTTAAAGAGTTAGAAGAGACCTTTAGAGATCATTTTATTCAAGTCAATACAGGAATTTGCTGTATAATTTCCCTAGTCTAATCTACCATCATGTGTAGGCTGCATTACTGCAAAAGCCTCCAAACAGATCTATTTTCACACTTGTCCTTTTCCAATTTATTTTCTATCAGTAGATAGCAAAAATTTCTCAACAAGAAATCCCATCATACTCCCAACTATCTGAATGCTTCTACCTCTGAACTCCATGACCTGGTTCCTGCCAGGCTCACCTCACCATTTASATCCTCCTGTTACACAGGAACTTTCCTTTTTCTCAATACAGGGACTCAGTGTTCCTCCTGCTGTCCAGGCTGTTCCTTCATTTTAGGTCTTCCAGCTCAACCATCCTCATTTCTCCCTCCCCAAGACCAGCACAATCCATCTCATGCTTCTGATGTCAGCTTTAAAAAACAAAAACATCTCCTGGAGAAGCTTCCTTTTTAACACTACCCCCCCCCCCATTCTTTATCTGTATTCTTCATAATATATATGTCAATTCATCTTCCTCAGCAGATTAAGAGAGTTCCATAAACATGTGAATTGTCTGTTTTCTCCCAATAGTTAGCAATTGAATTTAAGAATGGTAACCCCAAATCTGAAACCTCTAGTGATGTGAGACTTATTAAACAAAGTAAGTAACCTCAATTACAATCAGTTGTAAACCCTTAAACTTGATCTGGACCTTTTTATTTATTTATTTAGTTTGAGAATTTGGCTGATAAAACTTTGAAGGCAATGAGCCTTCCTCAAGAAAAGAGCATATCCACACAGCAATAAGCATCTTGGGGGTATCATCCACGTGATCCATCACAGAGCCCAGACTAAAATACTCTAACCTGCACCACAAAGAGAGGATTCAATGCAACCTTCTGAAATGCAATTTTTGAGATCTAAAGGAAGACTACAGAGCAACTTCTAGGAAAAAAGAAAAACAACAAATCACCAATATGAAAGATGCTTTCACATTACCTCACTTAGGAAGGTGCACCTGGCATCAGTAAATTTTCAACTCTAAAACAAACTTTGGAAGATATTCTGCTAAAACAAACTTTGGAAGATATTCTGCCAAAACGGAAACCCTCAAAAGTAAGAGGATCCTCCAAGGTCACCAACTCGTGAAGTGGTCAAGTTAAGACAAGGCGGCAGGTGTCTGGTCCTCCAAACCCGTACTAGATCCACTTAAATCTGAAGTCTTACACTGAGCGCCTAGAGTGCCACAGCTCTGAAAATCGGCTGGGACCTGGGAACCGAGGGCAGGAAACGAAGTATACAGCCCGGAAGGGTCGCTCTTCCTTCCCTGCGGGAAGCCCGCAACGAAGCCAAGGGCAGCCCAAGTCGCAGCGCTCACCTGTCCGGGGCCCAAAGGCGGGTGGTGCGGTCTCGGGACACCGACACAAAGGCCCCCGGCGGATAGAGGCAGCACACCAGGCCCCGCACGTCCAGCTCGTGGCCCGGGAGGGAGCAGCTCAGCCGGTACCTGGCGGCGCCGCTCGCCATGGCCCGTGTGGGTCGGACGCCCGGAACCCGGGCACTGCGCGAGATCCGTCCACAGGGCACACCTGGCGTGCACCGGCTGCCGCGGGAGTTGGGCCTGCAGGTGAGGRGCGACGGGAGACCGGAAGAGCCTGGGAGCCGGTGCGGAAGGGCGGCGGGGAAGGGGCGCGCCGAGCGAGCCGAGTGACACAGCAACCCTGACTTGCACGCCGGAATTCATCATCCGCCTCAGCCCGCCATGACGCAGAGTGTGTGCGTCCCGACTGTCGAGGCCGACTCGGGGCTGCGGCTCGCTCCCCTCCCGCTCTCTGGATCGCCGGCGGAGGAAGAGAGAACCACGCCCGGTCTTTCTGTGCAGGCCGAGCCCTGTGCTTTGCTTACTTGGTCCTTTGCTGTGCCTTGGCGGAACTGTTTCTTGTAATACGGGATTCCCGCCAGGACTACAAATCCCACAGTGCCGCGCGTCAGCGGGGGTGTGAGCTGCCGGCGAGCCGAACCCGGATATTTTAAATCTGGATTCTCCGCGCTGCGCCCTGCGTAGCGGTGGAGATTGCTTCCTGACTCCTGTTAGGGCTTACTTACCCCAATTTCTCCCCACCTTCTCTACGGAGTCTCCTGAGATTTTTACAAGGTAAACGTTGTTTTTCAATGAAAACAAGAAACCCTTGGCGTCAAACTAACCTCGCTTGCCTTGTTTCAAATTATCCCAGTCTCCTTGCCCAGTGCCATCAGATTAGCTAATGAGTATGGTGGTCCGTGTCCGTTCTTTCAGGCAGTATGTACATTCGTCTGGTGGCTTTTTGCTTCTGTAGATCTAGGGTAGGCCTGAGAATGTATGTTTTTTAAGCACACCCGGGTGATGTTGCCTGTCGTCGTTGGACCACGTTGAGTGCGACTGTCCACAAGATTTGTCCTCCAACAATTTCCCTCCCACCAATTTCACTTCGCCACAACCCATTCTAAATTGCCAAGTCCAGTTAGCGCCTTTCTCACTTTTTTCCTCTTAAAATTCTCATTCGAAGTTTGGAAATCACCACTCTTCTGGTTTCTGTTTCTGATTTTAATCCTGAAATGTTGACATCTTAATACTTGCTTTGCTGTAGCAACTTCTTCCTGGGTGGACTGTTTACTATTGCTTATTTCTAAATGTATATCCCRTGATTGATATCTCCAAACTCTAGATCCGAATTTCTAGCTATTAGAAATCTCTACTTAGTAGTTTCTTGCTTTTTGAGGCGGAGAAGGGACTACCGGGGATTGAATCACTGAGCCACATCCTCAGCTCTATTTTATATTTTATTTAGGGACAGGCTCTCACTGAGTTGCTTAGCGCCTTCCTATTGCTGAGGCTGGCTTCGAACTCGTGATCCTCCTGCTTTAGCCTCTGGAGCCCTTAGGATTACACGCATGCGCCACCGCGCCCCAGAGTTTCTTGCTTAAATTTCAACATGATTCTAGACTCTTTGCCCCTACTCTCCAGCCAATTCTACACATTAAAATGGGATTATCTTTCTAAAAATTAGATTGTGTTATTCCTTCGTTCAGTAACCTTTGTTTTCCATTTTTGAGTACAGCAATATACAAGGTCTTTTATATCTCCTTTCCAGATTCATCTCTGGTGCCTCCTCCCATCCCTCAACCATATTGACTTTAGCACCATTCCTGAACACATCATGCTATTCATGTTTCCATGCTTTTTGTACATAATCTTAAAAACAAATGAAAAAAAACCTATAATGCCTTTTACCACCTGTCACATTTCAACATCAGTTTATCATCTTCTGGCTCTTCTGTAGACCAGTGCAATTTTGTTATCTTCAATGTAGTATTCACTGAATTTTAACACATAAATGTGTGTGTCTTTTCTACCAGACTAAATTTCCTTCTGTCATCTCAAATGTCAACCATCTAGTTTACTGCCTCATATATATGAGGCAGTAAACTAGATGATATATATACCAGATCCTCAGTGAACCTTTCTCCACTGTACAAAGCAATTTTCAGTCTTTTAGTCCTCACAATAACCCTGCAAGGCAGATGGTTTTATTACTCCCATTTACAAATAAAGAATTTGCCTCATYAACGACAAACAGATCAGCTGTTGAATTGTGTGATTGTGCACACCTGTAATCCAATGCTAGAAGCTGAAGTAGGAGGACCCCAGGTTTCAAGTCAGTCTGAGCAATTTAGTGAGACCATGTCTCAAAAATGAAAAGGACTGGGGATGTAACTTAGTGGTAGAGCACCCCTGGGTTTAATCCCCAGCACCAGAAAAAAATATATATATATAAATCAACAAAAAGGCCATTGTGCTATTGCTCCTGCACTAAAGCCAAACTCAACAGTAAAAGGAAATTTAAGCTTAGCCAATCAAAAGCTGCCTAATTTTCCTCTGGACTTTCTGAAGGGAGCCTCCTGTGTAATCAGGGAATACATGGAATCAGTGAGGGCAGAAGATCAGCCAACTTTATCTAACAATCTCATATATGACATATGTTCAATAGTATTTTTTAAATTAGTTAACAACTGAAATAACTTAAATCACATAGCAAGAATGTAATGGAGCTCAGACTAAACTTAAGTTTTGTGAACACAAAACTGAGCTCTACAATATTTTAGATGTTAAGCAATTCATACATTTAAAACATTTTCTTCTTACTCTCCATCTGTGTACAAAGTGACAAATTCTGGATTCTCCTGCCATGTGCCTGAGGGCATGTAGGACTACTCTAGATGATGTTACAAGTTTTTTCCAGAAAAAAACAGGATAGTTACCCAATCCAGACCAAACATTAAAATTTATGTAAACTGAGTTATGCATTACAGTTTTGATTCTCAGTATGATTACACATGCTGGGCAAGTGTATCTCTGAGCCATGTGTCCATCCCATTTTTTAAATAATCAAATAATGAGATTTTAGGGCTCTAGTATTATTTAATCAGTGTGTTTAGATTTTTTTCTAGTCATTTGCTGTAACAAATACTGTTCAAATGAATAACCTTGGTTATGAACATACGTGTTATATATGTACATGAATCCAATAAGAAGATATGCTGAGGGCTGGGGATGTGGCTCAGTGGTAGAGCGCTTGTGCAGCATGGGTGAGGCACTAGGTACAATTCTCAGCACCACATATAAATAAATAAAAATTTAAAAGTCCATTGGCAACGCAAAAAAATATTTTTTAAAAAGAATATATGCTGAATTGCTAGAAGTGCAATTGCTGGTCAAAGGACATGTAGATTGAATTTTCATAGCCATTTTTTTTCCATAGACACTCCCACCAGTGGATCTAGTATTTTTTCACTTGATGTGAATATTCACTAACACATTCATTAATATCTTCTGTTTTTCTGCTCTAGAAACATTTAATGATGCTATTTCTGAAAGTTTGTTTTTTTTTAAAAAAAATCTACATTCATACTGCAAATGTCCATATTTTTTGACTTTTTTCTTCTGTGGGCTCTGGCATAACTGACCTTATTCAATAACAAGTAATCTCTTGGTTGTTATCTTAGGGTTAGTCAAATGACCAATAAGCCAACCAGACTATGGAGATATATATATATATATATATGTGTGTGTGTGTGTGTGTGTGTGTGTGTGTATAATTCTTTGGCTGAGTCTGGTTTCCTCTCAGTCTTCTAAATAGCTGGGATTACAGGCATATGCCACCACTCCCAGCTTCAAATAATCTTTATTCTGCTTCTACATAAACTCTATAAAATGTTTGCCTTCAGCCACCTCTAACAGAGTCCTGAACCACTTCTGGTTTACAACTGCTGCCTGCTCAAGCTCTTTAAACTTTTCACATGCTGTTATAGTTCAGATATGGGGTGTCCCTCAAAAATTACTGTCAATGCAGGAATATTTGAAGGTGAAATGATAAGATCATGAGAGTTGTAACCTCATCAATCCATCTTAGTTGGAATAGACTGACTAGGTCTTACCTCTAGGCAGATGGGCATGGTTGGAGGAGGTCAGTCACTGGGGGAATGCCCTATTGCTTTCTGCTCTATCCTGACCCCACAAGGAGCTGAGTAGCTAGCTTTACTCCACTGAATTTTTCCACCATGATGTTGTACCTCACCTTGAACCCACAGCAATGAAGTCAGCCACCAGTGGACTCTCTGAAACCATGAGCCCCARATAAACTCTTCTCCTTGAAATTATTCTGATATTTCATTTACAGTGATGCAAAAGCTAACTGAAACATATGCTAAAGTTTATCTTTCAAAGTTTTTTAGTAAGAAAAACACAGGGTGCATTGGAGATGTTAAATAGGGAAGAGGCAGAGGGAATTGGAGATTATTCAGTGGAGTGCCAGAGAATTCTCTGAAGAAAGAACATATGGGTTGAGACTTGAATGATGAACAAGACTTTTGACAGTGAAAAGCACAGGAATAGGGATTCCAGGAGGAGACAGTTCCTGTCCTGAGCCAGACAGGAACTTAATACACAAATACTCTTAAAATAAACTTATGTTAACTTAGTCACTTATCTATCCCCAACCACACCCCTAGCACTGGGGATTGAACACACAGGCACTCTACCACTGAACTACATCCCCAGTCCTTTTTATTTTGAAAAAAAAAGGTCTTACTGATTTGCACAGGCTGGCCTCAAACTTGGGATCCACCTACCTCAGCCTCCCAAGTCACTGGGATTACAGGCATGTGCCACCGCACCCACCTAATATCCCTGTATCTTAAAAACAACAGAATATATCTTCTCTCTCCTTCCCCAGCCCCTCTGCTTCTGTTTATGTCCTGCACTGCGCAACCTTGTGCCACCATGCTATTCTGCCATGTTTTCCCTCTTGAGAACAGCACTAAGAACAAGCACTGCTGCCTGCAACAACATACTGATGCTGGACATTGGTTGCTACAGATAGACCTTTGCAGTGTTAGACACTGGGTGTACTTGCCAAGGCTTTCACCCTTTCTTGAGTAAACTCCCTAAAGTCTGGTTCTTATACATGTCTGGGGTATGAGCATCAGATTACATAGAATCGGTTCAGGTCGGGCACTCAGAAGTCCCACTTACTGTCAAGAAAACCAAAGTGTCTCAATACAATGTTCTCCTTTTTTCTAGTCAACCTGCCTGTTGTCATGTCTTCCAAAAAATAATTGAAAAAAACAAGGCTAGTTCTCGAATATCGCGATAGAAGTTTGATCTCGTYCGTTTGTGGGTACCGGGATCTTAGGTCCAGGATTGACCAATCAGGCGCAGGGCCCTTCTTCACCCCACCCCGGTTGCCAGGATACGCAGCGCCACGCAGCCGTAGCTGGTTAGGCCTGAGGGCCTGAAAAGCCGCCCCTGAGTGACCRAGAGTCGCGGGCAGGGAAAAGCTTGCTGGTGAGTTCCTCCGCAGCGACGGCCTCGAAAAGAGTGGAGCGCCCTGAACCCTTGCCATCGCCCTCCTTCCGCGACGGTGGAGGTGAGAAAGCCCAGGTTCCATCTCTTCCTCTCGCATCTTTGTGCGCCGGTTCTTTATTCAGGCGGCGCTGATTTTATCCAATTCTTCAGCTCTTAGGGGTTTGTTTTGGGCCCCTTGCCCGGCCGCTGAAGTTTTCTGTTCCAGCGAAGGGTGCGCAGAGATCTC